AATCAGAGCTGGGCAAAATAGTATTTTAAATGGCAAATAGTAAATAGATAGTTTATTTTTGAAAATGAAATATTTTATTTGTTCGAAAGAATGTGCTTTTAAAAATAAAATATTTTATTCATTGTAACAAATTAAATTTATTATTTATTAAATTAAAAAAAGACAATAAATTTCATTTGCAAACGTGATTTCTTATATTATCTCGTTTCACATTATGTTAACCATCTTCACAATTCACTTTTAGTGTTCTATCTTATGTTTTATGCCATTAAAATAAGAACTATTTTATTTCATGTTTTAGATTATCAAAATCAAATATTTCTTTTCATGATTTAGCTGCGGATTATCGAAATAAAATATTTTATTTACTGAAATTTCTCATGTCCTGCTTGAAGTACTATTTCATTTGAATTGTGAAGAATCTATTATTCAAAATAGTATTTCAAATATTTTCTCCATAAATATTACCCAACTATGAATATAATTATGACCACAGTAATAAAGATAATACGAGGGCCAAAGATTATTATGTGATATAATTTGAATTAAACGNGCAAAATAGTATTTTAAATGGCAAATAGTAAATAGATAGTTTATTTTTGAAAATGAAATATTTTATTTGTTCGAAAGAATGTGCTTTTAAAAATAAAATATTTTATTCATTGTAACAAATTAAATTTATTATTTATTAAATTAAAAAAAGACAATATGTTTCATTTGCAAACGTGATTTCTTATATTATCTCGTTTCACATTATGTTAACCATCTTCACAATTCACTTTTAGTGTTCTATCTTATGTTTTATGCCATTAAAATAAGAACTATTTTATTTCATGTTTTAGATTATCAAAATCAAATATTTCTTTTCATGATTTAGCTGCGGATTATCGAAATAAAATATTTTATTTACTGAAATTTCTCATGTCCTGCTTGAAGTACTATTTCATTTGAATTGTGAAGAATCTATTATTCAAAATAGTATTTCAAATATTTTCTCCATAAATATTACCCAACTATGAATATAATTATGACCACAGTAATAAAGATAATACGAGGGCCAAAGATTATTATGTGATATAATTTGAATTAAACGTACTTGTCGTCGTGCAACTTGGACTGGAATGTTGTATACAGAGCAAAGATAACGTAGAATCTCGCGTGTCGTTGACCCCTTTATTTCGCGAAGATTTTTGATCGCGGAAACCACCAGTGCAAGAGTTTTAGATGAGTCGTTCATTGTGTTCGTAGTTCGTGAGACCTTGATAAAAATCAGGTACACGTATTTTTATACTGAAAATGACATTTCGATTCTTTGCACAAGTAATTTAATTCAATTACTATAACAAAAATCATTCGTATGTATCGTATATGAAAAAGAAAATACAAGCATTCCTATATTTGTCATTTATAAATTATTTGGAGATCTCGAGATCTTAGAGACTCCTCCATACTTGATTCGTTATCTTTAAAAGTAAATGTGCCAAAGGGATAACGATAGATGTTGGTAGCACCATTATGCACTTATGAATCCACTGCAACCCATAGAATGAACAAGCATTTGGCATGCAGGTCACTGTATTCAAGGACAACTATTATCACTAAACCGCGATTTTATGCATTTTATGGATTTTATGCATTTATAATGAAAATGTGTGCGTAAAATTTCGAACAATAGAAAAATTAAAAGGACTTGAGAATATCTGTACATATATTGCTTGTAACTTGTTGTGAGTATTAGAGAAATAAATAAATTCCTGTATGGTTGTTGTGTCTTCAAAATGACGAAAATAATTTACATTTTGCACAAAGATCCGCAGTCTAATTATTGCCGATGATACTGCAATTGATCTAATGCAGAAATTAAATAATTATTGTTTATTGGAATCATACTTGAATACTTTAATAACGTTGATACTTTATCTACCGGCAGCATACTATAATGGCTCTTTTAAAATCGAAGATCAACAGTTAAGAATTTCTTCAAAAAAAAAAGCGTTCAACAACTACAATAATCTCATCCACAATCCATCAAATTATTTATATTAATAGTATGTAACAAGTTCTTCCGAAAATATTATTTTTAAAAAAATCCTATTAATAGGCTTCCGGTAAATAAATTGTTAATTGCGATAATGTACGTCGATTTTAGATAGTAATTTTGACGGTGTACCTGACGATAAAATTAATCAGCCGGCGCACAAATTGTTCGTGCTCCATTCAGTTCCAAAAATCCTTTTCACTGAGCCGTGATTCGATGATCTTGAATGCTTCATTTAAAAGAGACCACTTCGAATTTTTCATTGGGGAAAATAGAGCAGAAATTTTCTTGTGTCACATTGCTGACAGATAGTCAATGAACGAGCATCGACATTTACAAGTGAATGATGCCTTTTCGAAATGACTTCGATATTGATGTCTCGAAACAATTTCATGGTATATCATCGATGATCAAGAAACTTCGCTGCGATTAAGGTGCGACACCGCCCTGAGGCGTTAAGAAATAGGTAAAGTTTAGGGAATTTTGTTTTATAGAACGAAAGATTTAGTCTTCCTAAGAGAATATAAATGTAAGTTTCAGTTCTGTTTTACAATTTTTTCAAATTAAAAATCGTAAAAAACGACGAAGTTATTCGTTGCTTCCGAAATCATTTCTCGTGAAACATCGATCGCTGGCCGTCACGATTGGCAGGTAAGTGAACGTCTGAATTACAAAAATTTTGTTAATTCATAAACTATAAACTATTATTTGAAATGTAGCGTACGGATTTCCGAAAGTTTTAGCAATTGTGGAAATTATTGCGGTTTGAAGAAAAAACAGCTATTTTAATCCCAAAAAATTAATGCTTATAATAAATTAAATAATCGACATATTTAAAAAATCGCACGCTGCGTTGTAGAATACTCTGTACAGAATATCTTTATAAACTTTGAGATAAATCGGCTGTATAATTTCGGAAATTTCATGACGGCCAGGTTGAAAGATGTAGTATCGACAAAAAAACATCAAAGAAGTTTCAAAGTAACTTTTCTCTCTGATAAGGTAAGATTATTTTGACTTTACCTTCAGTCACTAAACGTTCGAATTTCGAAATATCGCTTTGACGTAACATTCTACGCGCCTGAAGCTTTAAGAAAATCGAAACAAAAAAAGATCGATTTCTTTGAACCGTCGGTGTGGTGTCTCTCCCCTTAATGAAACGGATAAAAACAGAAAATGTTGTAATCCAGGAAATGAGTTGCAGGAGGCAGTAATATTGAAAGATGTTAACGAGAAGCAGAACGGCTGCTAACAAGTTCTCCGACATGAAGTATGTAAATTATCGTATTTAATCAAAGTGGCTGTTGCTGTGAAATGACTTGTGCATATATTTGACATTTTCTTACAAGCGGTAAAATAATTACATTTTACGACATTTCAAGCTCATATCATCGCTATCAAACACTCGCACACGAAATTGTGCACACACATATTAGCCAATTAAACTCTGATGCAAGAAGGGCCTGAGTGAGAAACGTGTTTTAGAACTCTTTAGGATATGTATAACTTAAATATAACTTAAATATAATATAAATATTAATATAATATAACTTAAAAAAATACAAAAATGCGGTAAAAAAAATGATATTTATTGACATCATTCTTTATTGTTTATGATTTTTACATAATATTCGAGAATATTTACACGTTTAATATTAGAAAACTTATAATTTTGTAACATGAAAATGAAAATTTGCCGATTATCCGCTTCAATTTATTCGGCTTCATCCATAATATTTTCAGTGTCAATTGGTTCATCCAAAACAAAATCAACGTCTACAGATTGTGTATCTCTTGATAAATTCTACTTAAATTGTTCTTCAAATCAATTTACTTCATTCAAAAAATCATGTAAACATCTAACATCTTGTAGCTTCCCTGATTTTATGATTTGTTTCGGTGCGATTCAAATCCGCGTTGTGAAATTAATTAGAAATGTGTTGCACTGTAAAAAATGAAAATTGCCAATAGCTTGCACTATAGAATGAATTAGAAAGAATAAAGCGCTTCCCCTTTACTGTAGGCATCTTCTGATAAAAAGAAGTTAAAGATCTACGAAGATCTATCATGGTTTTATAATGCCCTTTCGGTGAATAACTTCTGCATTTCTCGTTATTATTTTATCTCTGGTCCAGTGGCAACTATGCCCAACTTTTTNATCAGATCCTTTTATGCTCAATCGTGATCCGCTTCGCGTGGCTGACCGGTGACCGCAGCGTGTAGCGGAAGCGGAACTCGTAAAAGAAACAATGACACGAGCTTGAATGAAATCGATATTTCGCTGCGACTGAACGGTTTCTTGCGCATTCTTGTTGTATTTGCTACGAAGCCTCACCGGCCCCAAACAAATCACTCGGCAGGCAACTTAACATCCACGTTATCTACAGTTATTTAATACTAGAACTATCGAACCCTAAACGCGACCGATGTACATATATTGATTCACAACAAAATGCCAAAAGACTGGATTTATTTTAACTGTGTATATAATTATAAATATATTATATTATGTTATATATATATATATATATATATATATATATATATATATATATATATATATTATATAATTAATTAATATTATATATATTATATATTAATTCATGAACTAGAAACTATTACTTAAAATGTAGCGTACGGATTTTATTATATATATAATAATAATAATATATATATGTATATATTATATATTATATATATTATATTATATTATATTGCGATCACTTTTACTTGAATAATGCGAAATCTTTTTATAGATATTTGAAAAAGTTGTAGCAAAAATTTTCGACAATACATCTACACCCATTACATGTGACAAAATGCTCCCACAGATTTTTATACCGCGGCTGATTAATATTCTGGTTAATATTCCTGGATATTTCCCAATCTCTTTGGACGCCATGCATCCTGATAAATAGAGATCGTCAAGAAATTTACTTTGCTGCTCATAAAAATTAACATACAATTCTTTCTGACATGCAGAATGGATATTAGTGCAACACTTGTTGGAGCAACATGTAAGGACTGGATTAGAAATCTTCTTATTTGCAATCTGTCCACTTGAATTTTCATTCGACATCGCTTGAGTTCTCTGTCTTTTACTATAATTACGTTTCCAAGTGTATCCTCTTGACGAAGTTTTCTTCGACCAGGGTTTGTAGATCTTCGTGGAGTTGATTCACTGTCGTAGTCTGAACTAGAAGACTCCATTTCTCTGATTTTTAGCACAAAATTTGCAATACACAAAAAGATACCAGAAGACGTTTGCTCGACCAAACAAATCATCTGTTACCAAACACTCGAGTTTGTCGAACACAACGGTACGAAATATGACGATTAACACCTCTCTCTTATTCATGAATTGAATTATTTCGCGAATTATTCGTGAATTTGCAGGATATATTTAGAATGGAATGAAAGATCGATTTATATATTTTACGTAAGAAGGACTTGAGTGCCCTCAGTGCCCTCATTCTAGAATTCAATTATCAAATTAGAAATATATGATTGTAGAATTAATAAGTATGTGTGAAAGCGATTTACGAAATATTTGCTATCGCACACCAGTATTCACACTATTCATGTGCATAGACTAGCATAATTCATGTGCCAGCCTTTGCAGGATGATAAAGAGAAACCCTCCAATATTTATATGAGTCGAAAAGTCTACTGATTCTGAGACATAGACATTTTTGTAAGTCAGCATCATGTCTGGCTTTTCCATATTTGAACCGTTTATTTTGAAAGTGGCATAAGTCACTTTGTTTTTAAGTCGATATATTTAAGGGTTTGCGTTTTAATACGTTTAAAAATATGGATGCTAACTTTCGAGAAGATTTACTTGTATTTGTTATCTCAGGATACTGATATTTTTCTCGGTATAAATAATTTCGTATAAACATTAAAAAATCACAACTTTTCATTACGGTAAAGTGACTTATGCCACTTTCAAAATAAACGGCTCGTTTATAAGTGTTTCAATCTTCCTCCTTTCATTTTCTTATGCATCACTTTACACTCGAATGGCAACTCTAAGACACCATTGAAATTAAAAACCCTAATTTATAATAACACCCTAATTTAAAACAACTTTTACATGCGTGACAGAGGTAAGTGTTCAATTTTACATGCAAAGAGAGAACAAAATCTAAAAAATAGAAAATCAGAGGAAATAGGAGTCGATAGAAATGTCTGAAGTATAGTGATAAAATATCTTCGAGTGCAAAATAACGCATCTTGAAATTAAACTAAATAATGAAATGACAACCATACAATCAAGCATGTATTGTGTCTGGACAACGATTTTGACTGGATGTGTTGAAAAACATTGTATTCAAAATTGCAATCGCATTATTTTATGGAAAAATTGAAAATTTTATGAAAAACTTGTGCTAGTGAAAGCATAGGAAGACGAAACAAAGGGGGTGCCCATTTAGGGGTACTATTTTGAATCTATTAAACTTCTTACAGAAAAGAAGAACTTTCTGTTCACTGTTGATTTCTTACAACTAATTCAAATCATTTTTATTTTATACATAGATCCGCAGTCTACTCGTGAAATTCACAGACAATTTTTGTCCGAATGTCTTTTTTAATATCTCGTACATTATTTAATTCTTTATCATTTAACCTTATAATATTCGTGCACACACACACACACACACACACACACACACACACACACACAAGACGATTAAGCATTGATTTATGTAAAAAGATCGTTTAAAATGACGATGTTAGAAAAAATTTCGTAATTATTTTTTCTAATCCATTTGTATTATATTTGAATGTAAATCAAATCTTTTTCAATTTACAGCTTTTTATATTCCACATAGCCAAGGGCCCATTTATTGAAGACTTCACACAATGTGTAACCCACGGTTTCTACACAAAACATTGGCAGGAGCAACTTTACGTGTCCTTTAGCTTATTCTTCATGTTCGTTCTTCCACTAATCATTCTTGTAACAACCTATGTTTCTACAGTGATCACAATCTCGCGTAAGTATACACTGTCCTCGTTTCTGCTACTTCCTCATTCATAACTGCGTTACTCCTTTTTATGTGTTTGGTTTATTTCAATCTCGCGGACACATACCGAAATCATTCGTGATCTAAACAGAGTTTATTGTTCAGATGACGAAGTAAATGATCTATTGTCTAAAGATGTTTTTATCGTGTAAAATGATCAGGATAACGAGAGATGTTTAAGTAGATATGGTAACGAAACGTGAATTGTAGAATTGTAGAGGAACAAGAATACTTGTTGGCATATCATTAGCGTTAGAACGAAAAATATCGAAGAATGATTTTTATAACTAGCCGAGTCACTTACTTTTTAAATATTTTCTTAAAGCATTTATCACAATAAATTTATCGTTGTTGATCTCTCTATTGTAATTATTTCATTATTTATTTTCATTTCTAAATGTTAAAATTTTTCGTACTGAAAGTCACGTGAACGTCATGATATTTGGTCATTGGATTCGTCGTCTTATACTTAGCTATCATGATATACATAGAAATATGCAATTCAATTTAGGGAAACATAGATTCCCTCGAGAAATCTCGAAAAATATGACTTTGAAAAAGAATTATTTCTACCAGAACACGTGGTCCCTTCGAATCATACAATTTGTTCCTCTACTAGCACTAAAGATAACAGAAATATTGCTTTGTAACACAGTTAGTGAAACACCTTGTATGTTTCAATCAACAGCGTATAACAATTTATATGTGACACCATATGTGTAATCGTGTAATATTCGAATATTCTGTTTACTTGTTATTTATTATAACTGGTCAATGTTGTTCTTCTGCCATTTGATCACGCTTATTCCATACATTAAGAGTCACTGTTAAAATAATTTCACACATTTCCTCCCATTTAATTTTACTCTCTCTCTCTCTCTCTTTCTCTCTCTCTCTCTCTCTCTCTCTCTCTCTCTCTCTCTCTCTCTCTCTCTCTATTTCTGAATATTAACAAATTCTGGACAGCAATCAGTTTGAAAGAAACGCTGCCTACCATTTGCTTTTAAAATTGCGTAGCACATTTACATTCAAACTATTCTTATCTTCCACGTTTACTTTCCAATAGGTGCATTTTTTTTACTGAAGAACATTAAGTAATGTGCTGGGTCACCAGTGATCCTTATACTAATCGGTTGTGAGTCTTGTCCTTCACAAAGATTTTATAAATTAAACTATGATAATTACTATTAAACGATTACGGTGGAACGAATCACCGATATACGTATTACGGCATCCTGAAAGTGTTAGTATTCAATTACTTTTTTCGTACTTCTGTTTCAATTCGTTTTGTGATGTAAAGTGTACAACAATTTCAGAGAATGCGAAAATCTTCAAACTGAAGTCGACTAACAATAATATTTATCACATGAACGGAGATATAAACAGAAGGAAATTGATGCATCGAGCTAAGGCCAAGTCGTTGAAACTCAGCATCGTCATTGTAGCTGCCTTTATCATATGGTGGACCCCTTATTACGCTATGATGATCATTTTAATGTTCCTCAATCCTAATAAACATGTAAGTGCACATTTTTTTCTGTTATTAATGCTGCCGAAAATACGTTATTACTAGTTACTTTTAGTTTGCATGAATTTTGGATGAATTTAGGAGGACAAACGCACAATTACTTGTGTGCTTTGAATAAGAACCGTCAGATTTGATTAATTATACATCAATCTATACGTTTACATTTTATTATTTTTTTTTACAGTAAGATATCGTTTAAAACAATCGCTTCGCGATGAACCCAGGTTTTTGAGTCGTTATAATATTATATTACGAGTGTAATTATTCAATAGGTTGCTAAACAAACGATTCTCCGAGGTAGCTAACAGTTTCGGATTTTAAATGTTACATTACGCCAATTAGTAGTATAACGAGTCGTATGTATTCGCTACATTTCCCTGATGTAACAAGTTCATATTTCTTTCAGCTCAGTGAAGAATTATTAAGCGGAATATTCTTCTTCGGCATGAGCAACAGTTTAGTAAATCCATTAATTTATGGTGCTTTTCATCTATGGTCTCGAAGAAATCGTAATAATTCCTATCACAGGTACGTTATAAATATTACAGTCGCAGTTACCAGTTCGTATCGAATTTGTCGCTACGATTTAGACAAATCAAAAATTCGATTAATATATATAAGGTGTCTCAAAATTATGTTACTTCCGAGAAATTAGGGGTTGCTGAAATCATTTGAAGTAACTTTTTCCTTAGCGCAAATCCAATTCGCGGCTTTGTTTACGAGTTATTAACGAAAAACGTTGACCAATGAGAGGCGAGCACGGCCGTCTTGCGCCAGCTAATCTCAGGGTTTTTCATCGATAACTCGTAAACAAAGCCGCAAATTTTATTTGTATTAAGGAAGAAATTATTTAAAACGTCCTCAGGATCCCCTCATTTCCCGTAAAAAACATAATTTTGGGACACCTTGTATACATTCACTTCTACACCATTCCCGCTGCCCACAATCGTGATAGATTTTTACGATGGGATATAGTTATTATGTAAGACTTATGTAGTTATAATTTTATATTTAATTATTTTAATAAATATTATTCTTATATCTCAGCATAATTGAAATCATTTTTACTGATGGAGTAGGATGTACCATAACAGTATTTTACGCGCGTTACGAGAACCGTGCTTCTGTATGTAGTATCTCATCAGGTAATAAATATAGAAACGGTACAATGATCATTATTTGGTTTTCCATTTTTTGGAACCACAGTTTGCGATAAAAAATCTGAAATAATCTTTTCTTGGTCTACTATCGAAGGATGCGATATATTCGTTGGAAAAGCTGTCGGTAGATTTGACTTATCTTATCCGGCTAGGCCCTTTTGAACTTTTATGCATACAATGTCAATTGTTAATTGTTGATATCTGTAACAAAAAGTGTAATAATGCGAAGGTCGCAAAATTAAAAAAGAGACAAAGTATTGCATTGAAAACTTTTTCCTATCTTTTAACATATCAATAACAAAAACTCAAGTACACGAAACCTTAGTAACGATTTTACTGCTGCGGAAATATATGTTGGTAAAATTGATTTCTCTAGTTATACTATCCATTTTTATTTTTTTTTTACGTAAAGAGAGAATATAGTAACTCAACTTATAAAAGATACAGAAGTATTCGAAAATATTATTACTATATAATATGTGAACTTTTTTTTTTATTTTAATTTTTTCATTTTCATCAGGATTTTTCATTTAATTAATTTTTTCATTTTTATCAGGATTTGTTTAATTTCTACGTTTACGTAAATTAAGATAATTAGTAATACATATAAATTCATTGTATCTAATGATTGCTTTATTATTTTTAGGGATTTATCCACGACACAACGTAGACTTACGCCGACGATCAACAATGATAGTAGCTTCAAACGAGGATCGCGAGAAACCCGAGTACCATTTCTATCAAAAAATAATTCAAATACTACTTTTTGAAAAATATTTTCTATCAAATATTTGTGTTTATCGACCGTAACGATGTTACCATAAATACAACGTTTTGCGACAAAAAATTTGTCGCATTTGACACTCAAACTCGACTACACAAAACATGAAAGGAACGTAGTTTTCTCTTCTATTCATGAAAGACGAAATAAGTATAGTCCTCACGAGTCAAGGAAGCACTTTCGTGTTTATGTTCCCCCTCTTAATAGCTGCCCCACTTCCACGCCGTAACTGCTTTCGACCAATAGCGACCGATAACTGCGGCAGTAGGCCAGCTAGTAAGGGGGGAAATGTAAACGCAAAGGTACCTTCTTGTCGCGTGATGACTATACTTACATAGAAAGCTATACCTTAGCTTATGAGTTTTAATTAAACAAAGTAATTCAAACAGTAATCTTTTACGCTCGAGAGGTGACTCTGAGGTGATACTAAAAATTGCTACATTATTTTCAGAAGAATTTTCACATTATTGAATATGTCTGTATTCGACAAATTATCAAATAATAGAAGTCTTTTATAAGCATACACGTTCAATTTCATATGTATCAAATAAAAACAATCATACCAAATGGAAATACTGTAGGTTGAAACAAATGTCATCATTTTGGAATTAAAATATAATCTCATGTTTATAATAATCTCATATTTACAATAATCTCTAATTATAATGCTCGTTAATTATTTTTGAGACATGTACATATGTATATACGACATAATTTACTTCATAGAGAACAATAGATGTAGGAAAAGTGGGAAAAAAATCCTTTAATTTGCCTAATAACACTATCTAATGACACTATCTAATGACACTGTCTAATCAAATCCATTAGACTA